TGGTCTGAGAGAGATAGGCCTAAAATTTTATGCTCTACAACTTTTATTTGAAACTTTTTTTGATATTTTTAACATATAATCCAAAAATCGTATTTTGGGGTAGTTTTTAATTTTTTTCACCCCTTTCCCGGTGGTTGAGAACTTTTCTACTTTGCCCACAGTTTTGTACGCATTTTTCTGATGATTTCCATATTTTTTCAGCCGTATAGCTCAAAAACCCGATTTCAGGGCTATTTTGACTGGACTAACTAGGTAGACCGAGACGTAGATAGGAGGATAATGTTAGAAGGGATCTGAAAGACATAGGATACAAAGACCGCGAATGGAAGGATCGCATTCAGGGACGGGAACAATGGCGGGATCTGGTATTTGTAGTAATGAACTCTCGAGTTCCTAATGCCAATTAATAATAATAATAACTAACGTAACGTACTTATGAATTAATAGATATATAAAACAGAATAAAATTGTAAAATTTTTTAAAATTATTTTTTATTGTTTACAGCCCATAATTAATCATTGTATGATACCGTTTAATTCTTTGAAATTGTTCTTCTATGTCGCTTAAAGATTCACTATTATCACTTTCAAATTCATTATCACGTACTGTTGTACGTCGACTCTGTCGTTTAGCTATATTCTTTACAAAAAATAATTATTTCCTAGAAATGTAGAATTTAAAAACGCTTTCTAATTGTACTATTTGTACTATGATTTTGAACTGTACGCCACGATGGATTTGAAAAAACTCAAAACTCTAAGCCCTTAAATTAAATTCAAGATTTTTAGAAAATTTCAGACTTGCAAAAATGTAGCTCTTATCTTATCTTATTTAGACTAAGATTAAGATAATCGGGTGAAACTTAATATACTATGCGTCAGAAAACAAAGCGATGTCGAACCACACTCGACATAGGATGTACTAGAAAGAAATGCGATATCGACCACAAAGGTTTAACGAATAATTTATGCAACAACTAGTATAAATATGTATATATTTTTTAATATTAAACCTAGGTGTAATAAATCTTAGATTAATATAATATTGAAATTAATATATTTTATTTTATAGAAAATGGAAGGTAAAAAGTTGTTATGATTTTATCGGTACAAATTTGATATGAAGTGGTTTCTCCGGTCGCAAATTTATATTTCCTATCAATTTAATGTTGTCCAATTCCTCTACTGGTTCTAAATAAAAATTATGTAATATGTGGGCAACCATTAGTTTTATTTCAAACATTGCATATTTTTGACCTAGAAAAAAAGGTAATATTGGAATATAAATCTTTTTTGAATTTATGTATAATCTTCTTATGTATAGTATTCTTACCAATGCAGTTTCTTAATCCTGCACTAAATGGGATAAAACAGAAAGCATTACGTTTGCTAATATTTTCTGGTAAAAATCTATCAGGATCGAAAACATCAGGATTGGGCCAAAATTCTGGATTTCGGTGTAAATGAAAGATGTTAACTCGAATGTTTGTACCTGCTGGGATTAAATATTTTTCTGAAAATTAAGCAATTAGAGTTATTTGATCAAAATGATAAAATAAAAATGCATATATGAGAATGTACGATAAATATATTACATACTTAACTGCATGTCCTCGTGTAAATAACGAAATACAAAGTGGACACTTGGGTATAAGCGTAAAGATTCTTTTATACATCTTTCTAAATATGAAAATTCTCCAAGCATCGACATCGTTATTTTAGAATTTTCTTTGTTTATAACACTATTCACTTCCTCTCTTATACGTTCCTATAACGCAAATATTCATTAGAACAATTATAGATAATCATAACTAATGATTTTTAAACTGCATCTTTCTTAATAAAAATGACATCAATTTTTATAATTACAAACTTACTTGAACGTCTTTGTATTTAGCAATAATACTCAAAAGAAAAACCAATGCCATTGCAGTAGTGTGGTTACCCTATAAGGATTTTTTTCGTGAATTATTTTCATTCCATCTTAACACTGTATCGACCGCTAGCCGATTTATCGGTTTAAGTTTTTTTTTACTAGCCTATCATGTCTTTTTTACTGTTCTTATTAGAATATATATTTATTATGTAAGAAAGTTTTGTCGTTCTTTTAAGGAAATTTCAAATTCCTATATTAAGCTTATAAATGAAATTAATTAATGAAATATTTACTACTGCTGTTTATGACATTCTTCTATCTATCAATAAGGTTATTTATGCCATATATATATAAAATATCCTACCCTTTGTAGCAAAGAAATCTACCAATGCCTTATGAATTTCCTGAAAATTTTGCAATGAGAGGAAAAAGAGGTAGTTAGATGATGCCAGGTCAGGTGAGTATGGCGTGTGATGTGAAAAATTTTCATAGCTAAAAGCCTGGAGTTTTTTTACCGTCTTTAAAGTCACGTGAGGTCTGGTATTGTCATATTGGAAGACTACACTTTTTCAGTTATACAGTGCTGAACGAAGTTCACATATTTTTATATCGAGTCGAGTTTTTTAATCACAATATAGGTCTGCTATGACAGTTTTATCAGTTTGCAACAGCTCTTAATGGATAGGACCACAACAATCTAATCAAATGCAAAAAATTAGCTTTTTTTATTGCAAATAGAACTTCGTAAAAGTAGTAGGCGAACTGATTGGTAATATTTTGATTTTATTCCTCACTACATTGTCATATACAATCTACTCTTTGTTACCAATTAACAGGTGATTTAAGATGGCTTAAATTATTGTCAAATATGAAAAGAAGAAGCAATCAAAATTTGATAGTTTAAATTTTTTTTCACTTAATTCATGGGGAATTCAATGACATCATTTATAGACAAAGTCAAGCTTGAATAGGTGGTTTTCAATTATTATGTGATTAATGCTTAACTCATCCCCTATCTCCCTCGTTTTCAATAGTAGTTCAGTACCGTCTAAAGCTCTCTAAATACCGTCATCAATCTCCTTTGGTCATTCGGTGCGAAGTTATTTTTAAGCTTCGTGTCACCTGACCTAAATTTTGCAAACTATCGTTGAGTAGTACTTACTTAAACTTTAGATAGTTCAAAGACGAAATAAAAATTTTTATTGTTTACTACTATTAATATACTACTATTACTATATACATATAAAATAATTTATTTAAGAACAGATCGGACGTTCATTAATTAAGAGAATGCTTTGAAATAGACGCAATGAAGTTAGTGAACACTATAAAACAAATATAAATGGGACGATTTCACGTCCGACTAGACTGATACTTACGACTAGTAACAGGAAATGCTCGGTAGATAAAGTGTTAGTATTAGAAACAAATAAAAATACTACATTTTACCGCAAACATAAATGTATCCACTTCCTCTCTGATTCCTTCATCATCGATTTGATTTCCATTCCAAGAAGCTGCTATCAGTAAATCTAACATAGCCAGTTTTTTCTTATATACCGGATCTATGATAAAAACATTCGATTAATATTCCTATTGCGAATATGAGTTATCATTCTAAAGCAATTGAAATACTTTTGTAATTTTCATCGTATTCATCGGAAAAACCGACATTCTCGTCAATTTCTTCCAAACTTTTTAAATATTTTCCATTAGTTTCTTCGTGAAAACGTTTTCTTTCTGCAATTATCTAAAATAATAATAATAATTTTTGAAATTGATATGACTCTTTTTAGAACGCAGGTTAGGAATATACTATACATACTTTATTCGTAAAACCATGCAACGTTTCTAATAGTTTCTCTTGTAATCGTCCTTTCGGTGATAATGCAAATATGGTGTCAAAAAAATACCAAGGTCTTACACTCCTAATAAATGATAGCATGTTTTTTTATTCTTTTTAGCATAATTTTTTCATAAAATTTATCTTTAACCAGAACATAAATAATTACCTGTATGGGACAATGCCGAGCATACTATGAACGGTTTTGCGATATTTAGACTCAAGTTCGCCATTTCCATTCAAAGGGGTACCCATAGCCGTTTCTGCAAATGATCTTTTTGTAAATAATTTTATTTTTTATTAGTATTATATGTGTAAAAATATTCTTTAATTTACCACATATCGCATTTAATGTATGCTCGGTCAGTAGTTCCTCTAGATTCTTAATGATTGGATTTCCGTTTCCTTGTTCTTTCAATGATGACACAAGATAACGTGCCTCTTCATTTAAGGTGACTACGAAATGTTTGAGAATATTAAAGTGAAAAGCGGGAGTCAAAATTTTTCTTCGATGTTGCCACTTGCCTCCTGTCGAGTTAAATTTAATTTTAAATGTAATTTATTATATTTAACACATTTTGCTTTTTCGAAAATTGTTTACCTGTACTTGTTATCAATCCGGTCGATAGCCATGGTTTTAAGAATTTATAAAAGACACTTTTTGTTATGTGTTTGGGACTCCTCATAAGTACCTTTAGTTAAAAGATATTTATATACTAAATTCATTTAATTGTAAATTTGTTTTTATTGAAAAAATCAATATAAAATTTCTTAGGTAGTAAAAAAAAAAATATTTTTCATTACTATTTATCGTAAAGATAATTAAAAAAAAAAAAAAAATGAAAAAACAATAAATTTATTATTTTATTTTACAATTTAAAACCGATCATTTTACTGATAGTGATAGGTTTAGTATTATTTTGAGAGAACAAGAAGTATTTTTATATTTCTTACATTTTATAATTATTTACCTCGATATCTTCTGGATGAAGTAAAACTACCGTTGTGGTAAAAAAAGTCCATATTTTGTAAATTGGATAATACTCCTTGTCCGTTTTATAAATTAATTCGAAAAGGTTATCTAAAGAATGAATAATGTGTTTTTGTAAGTTAAAATTACTATATTATGTAGAAGGAATTACAATAAAAGATATTTTTCGTTTAGATAAATTTTATACTTTTGTTAACATTTACCACTTTTAATTTGATAACGAAGCAAATTTCCTATAATTGGATATGCTTTTGGTCCCGGAAGTGCTTCAAGGATTTTTGTTACTCTTCGGTACTTAATAGAGCAGTGTAATAAAAATAAAAATGAAACCAATCCCAAGAAGATCGTAAAAAACATTGTGTCTGTTAAATAAAATAATTAATAGATTAACCTGTTTTAATTATTTATTTAATCGTATTCAAAGATGACACAAAGAGAACAAATGTATACAATGATATAATATAATCTTCAAGAATAATTAGATGATTGCCTTGTTACGTTAAATTAGTTTGTCCCAACTCTATTGCTAAACTTAAACAATGTGGGCACTGTTAGCAATATGGATATGTGACACGTTTGAGGAAATAAGACAAAAATCTTGTGCTGTGTACTTGAGAGAAAAAGCCACAGCTTTTCTGGTAGTATTGAAATAAGTGCGAGAAGGTGGTATAGAAAAGTAAAGGAGAATGTAAAAAAGGTAATTAACTAATATAATAATTATACTGATCAGATGTAAGATGAAGTTAGATTTAAAAAATAGATGAATATAGACATACCACTTATTGATATACCTGACGAAAAATATAATATTTAAATTGCTATCCAAGCGACACACTTGAAATACTATCACAACTGAAAAAGCTCACCTTTCAAATTAAATATATAAATACGTTTGAAATGTTATCTATATTAGGAATGATCAACTCTACAGATTTGGTTGCTAAGTCAATTAGTCAGTAGAGGACTGAAAGACGTCGTTTTCGTAATCGACAACATGAGCATGATCAAATGATAATATGTATTTAAAGATGAGTATTTGTTGTGAATAATAAAAAGACTACTTAACAAATTAATGTTATTTCGAATTAAAATGATTTTTTTCTTTTAAAAATAAGTGTTTTATGAAATGACAGTGCTTTTCTAAGAAATCAAATGAGTTTTATGTTAAAAAACCTTGTTGAAAATACATATACACAATGGCATATTAAGAGGTTTCGTGACATTCTGGAATATCAAAAGATTCTAAAATAATCTTGAGGTTTTCCAATTTCTTTTCATAAGAGGTCGAAGAAAATTACTTTTTTCTAATAAATTTAGTTAATGTGAATTAAAAATATGAATTTTTCAATTATTTTTCTATTTTTTAATATTCTAATGAGAGTTTTTTTGCAAATTTTTTTATTTTGTTAAAATTTTTATCGTTGGGGGCCTCTTCTTGACCTTGTCCGTCTCTCAAAATACAGGCATATCAGTGTAAAATCACATGATGTGCAAAGTAAATTGTAGAACGGAAATGAAAAATCTCTAATCTTGACATTTTTATCTCAAGTATATCGTAAGTTATATAATGGTGTGAAAAATAATCGTGATAAAAATATGGTTTTTACGTGTAATGATTAATACATTATATTGATGTAATAGAACATCTATTAAATACAGTACTCAAAAATTATTTATAAGATGAAACATAGGCCGGAGTTTTTTGAAAGTCCATTAAATATGGTGAAAAATAAAAATTATGAAATATTTTATAAATATATATTAGATTTTAGATAATAGAATGATATTTATCTAAAACTCGATTCTCTTTATTAATTTAATATAAAGAAGGAAAGAGAAAGAACAATCAACGATATCTGAGTCAAAAAAATGCACATCTTATAAATAAAAATAAATTAAATAAATATAAATAAAATACATAGAAGTCGTATTGGTAATATAAAGGGAACATACCACCAAATAATATGCTGATTACATTTTATTGAGATTTCGAGTTTTTATAATGAATGGTAATTTTTTATTTTACACAACGAATATACACGTCAAACGCATCTCAGTAGAGATTTGGTCTGACGTGTATACACGTCGAACGCACTTAACTGGTTAAACATTCTCTCTTTCTTTCCAATATCAATAAATCACACTTTTAAATTGTGTAGAGTTTGAGTATGAATGTTTTTTTTTAGAATATTTATAAAATATGGAATTGGTTTATACATGTAAGATAGTATGCATCCACTGCAATGTATTAAGGGGGGAAATATCTTTAAAATCGTAAAAAATATATTCTTTTTTTTCATAAAATGTTCATATAATATTTTAATAATATGTTACCAAATTTTAACACGTTGACTGCCGTGGGGTTTGTGTACGTAATTACTTGATAAAATATCTTCATCATCAGAATATTTCATTAAATGCTTAAATACATTGTTAACTTCATCTTAAAATCCGGAATTGAAATATTTGTTCGAGTGATTTGTTTGTATAACACCATTCATTTTACATCACAAATATAATAATCAATAAAAGCTCTTTACCAATTTCCTATACCTCTTTATAGTTTTTTGCAGTGGTGAACTATAAGCAGTCGGATTTTTTACGAACTTCGCGTGTTTAGAACTACGATGCAGAAGGGTTAATAAAGGAAACAAAATAGCTATAGTGGAATGACATTTTATTATATACAAAATTTCATAATTGTAATTATTATTCTTTTATCATTTTCGTTTCAGACTTCGGTCCGGCCTTTTTATAGAGAATCTCGTGGACTTCTCAGTCAAGCGTGCTCTCTTATCCCTTTGTATTATTGTGTATTGAGTGTTTTCCTAACTATAGAGCATGTGCCGATAATAACTGATTTCTGTAGCTGTATGTATATGTTCGGATGTAATTGGGTTTCACGTATGTACTGGTGTAGAATTTTGGGTATGTGTCCTGTGGTTGACATTATAATAAGTATTGTTTCCACCTTATTTTGATGCCACATGTCTTTTATCTCCACAGCCAGCAATATGTACTTTTCTATTTTTTCTCCTATTTTTTTGAAGTGAAAATTTTTTTAGAATAGGGAGTGATTTGAAAAGAAATGGGTGGTTCAGGCAACGAATCGGTAGATGGCGAGGCAACGAAGCGACGGTGTGGGGAACAAGGTTAACGGAAAAGGTTGATCTGGAGATTTACGCGATAGTCGTCAATTAAAGTAACAAAAATATATAAATTTATTAACAAGATACAACTAAACTCTTGGACGCCATATNATGAAAATAAAATATTTTCGAAAATATTTTACTGATAGAGTAATCTTTTGCAAGTCTCTTAACCTGGACATTTTCACCTTGTAGAAAGATTTTTTAGAAACTTTTTTGAAAGGTTTAATACTTTTCAAGAAATGTTTTAGAAAGTTTTTATGTTATGTAAGCTATTATAGCGCGCTTTTTCAAGCCGTCTGCCAAGGCTTTAGCCCCCAAATTTTTGTCTGCCATTTAGTAAATTGTTTTCTTAATGTTTAAATAATAAAATAAAACAGTTTTTGTTCATGAACCTTGTGATTTTTTTTAAATTAATTTTTACACCCCTTTAGCGCGCTCTGGCGGCACTTTAACCCCGAGCAAACTGTCTGCTAATATTTTTTCGCGATTCCTTAATATAAATACAAGCTTTTTCCATAATTAAAATCCGTGTACCTTATGATTTTTTTCACACCTAAATTTCACGTCTTCAATCGTACCCCCCCGCTTTAGGCCTCAGTTTTGCGATGGCAGACTTGCAGATTTATGTTCAGCTATACCAAAGGTACCTTTTTCAATAGAAATGAATCTTTAACCAGATAAAAGCATTTTTATGTAGCCAGCTCTTAGACTATAAAGAAACTAATTACTTTATAATGTTCTTTAATAATTTTTATAATTTTATAGATTCTATACGGAGCAAACAAGAATTATTTAAATTTAATTTTTAGTTTATACACTTTGTATCAAGATAAAATTAATTTTAATATGCGATGTAAGGATTGTTCTCAAATAATTTTTGTATACTTATTATATATTTCTTTTTTCTGCTAAATGGCAGTCATAATCTATAAAAAAAAGCTTGTATTTATTGTATTTCTTGCATCCTTATTTTACCACTGTAAAATTATAAATAAATAAAATCTATTTCTATTTCCATTTTCATTTCTCATTGGAATATCATATCATTTTTTAATATCGTATCACACAAAAGTGTTAACCTGGTTCAAGTTTGTTTAAAGGAAACGAAGGTTAAAGTGAGAATATGTAATCAAATGTCGGAAGCTTTTAGTATTCATAACGGGTTAAAACAGGAGGACGCATTGTCACTTCTTATGTTCAATTTAGTGCTGCAATTTGCTGTCAAAGAACTGCAAAAAAGTAAAGGTGGTCTGCAGTTGAAAGGGGCAACACAACTTCTTATATACGCGGACGATATTGCTTTGCTAGAGGTCAATAAAAAGATATTAGTTAATAATGCGACATAACTAATAGTTAAAACAAAAGAATTTGGGCTGCAAATAAGCTTTCAGAATGTGCCTAATACTGGAACTTTGGTCGATATACCGAACGGGAAAAGACCACTAGGTAGACCGAGCTGCAGATGGGAGGACAAAATTAGAACGGATCTTAAAAAATAGGTTAATTTACATAATCAATGTAAAAGTTCATTACAAATACAGGTCTCCCTCCAACAACACGGTAGATAGGTTCCTAGAAAATGCCGTGTTTTTTAATGACCAACTTAATTTTTATTAAAAATATAAATTTATGAACAATATAAAACAAAAAATATTATTTTAATTTAATGCAACTTTAATTTAATAAATTTCTTCATCATCACTGCTCAGTTTAATCAACCGAGAACGTTTTTTCGGGGAATGATATCGTCTTCATTTTCAGAACGTTTTTCTTCACTTAAGCTTCTTGCATCTTCTTCCCTCTTTAAAAAATCTGTAATTTTACTTTGCTTGTTGTTTCTTACCAGGTCATTGTAAATTTTTCAGTATGGAGCTAGACAGTTTTGATGCTCTCTTTTGAATTTTAGGCTTCTTTCTGCGGAAGGGTCTGCATTCAACACAAATGACTCGAGATTTTCAGTTAAGCTTAGGATTTCTTTTAATTTTTGTAATATTAAATTATTAATTGCACAATCTTCATCAGTGCTAGTGTCCTCAGGATCGATTTAATTTTCAGTTTCGGATATCATTTCCATCAAATCTGCTTCGTCAACTTTTTCTTCCACTAATAAACCTTGAACGTCCTCAATAGCCATATCTACAAAACCTTCGCCTCCGATTGATTTAGCAAGTTCTAATATGTCACCAATTTCATTTTGTGTCGATTCACGCACGTTTTCTATTTCAACTGAAGAGGGCCATATCTTCTTCCAACACGCATTTAACGTTGATATTTCCAGTTCACAATAGCGTGAAACACTTTTGTTTTCAGGCTTTGGAAATAAAAAGAAATACTTTCAGCAACACTGTATCGTTAAGATGGCAAGCCTCGCCGCGGCTTTAGAAGTACAGTGTTGTACAAAGGTTTTTTGAAAGAAAACAGTTTTATAGAATGCCATGTTGTAGGAGGGTTCCCGCAATTATGAATCGTGTTATTGCGAAACTGTGTTAGGAGAAACCGTGTTGTTGGAGGGATATCTGTATCGCGAATTAGAAAACAGAACTCGATCTACTATAGGAAGTATCATTGATAGGTATAGATTAAGAAAGAACTGCAAAATAACTCAAGAAATGAACGTCTACGAAAAATTAATCAGTACACTGGACGAATTATCACAAGAATGAAAACAGAATCCAAGGATAAGTACTATAAAATAGTCGAACATCTTAAAAATAATTCAAATATTGATATATCCGGTAGTACTGTAAGTAATTTTTTGCAAAATGAAGATTATCATGGTCATGCCAATACCAGCTGCACTCATGCAGTCCCAAACAATTACAGAACCTTCACCATGTTTCACTGGTGTTTCTACACCCACTGTATATGCTTTGTATGCTTTGTAAACTTTCAGACCTTATTATTATTGAAAATTTCTGGTCATAATTTTAATTATAATCTTATATCTCACAAGTAATTACAATTTTAACACTTTACTCAACGACTAACTAATTGTTAAATTAAAATAATATTAAAATTAATATATTTTATCTTATATAGTATAGTATATCTTATATATATATTAGAATTAATATATATTATCTTATATATTCTATCTTATATAGTCTTATATAATATATTTTATGTTATATAGAAAAAACAGAAATTTAATTTTTTCTGATTAAATTGGAATAAATTTGACACGAAGTGGTGTTGCTGGTCGCAAAATAATATTTCCTATCAATTTAATGTTGTCCAATTCCTCTACTGGTTCTAAATAAAAATTATGTAATATGTGGGCAACCATTAGTTTTATTTCAAACATTGCATATTTTTGACCTAGAAAAAAAGGTAATATTGGAATATAAATCTTTTTTGAATTTATGTATAATCTTCTTATGTATAGTATTCTTACCAATGCAGTTTCTTAATCCTGCGCTAAATGGAATATAACAGTACGCATTACGTTTGCTAATATTTTCTGGTAAAAATCTATCAGGATCGAAAACATCAGGATTGGGCCAAAATTCTGGATTTCGGTGTAAATGAAAGATGTTAACTCGAACATTCGTACCAGCTGGGATTAAAAATTTGTCTGAAAATGTTATAATTAGGATTATTTCATCAAAATGATAAAATATGAATGCATATATTAGAATGTACGATGATTATGTTACATACTTAACTGCATATCCTCAGTTAAATAACGAGACACGAAATGAACACTTGGGTATAAACGAAGAGATTCTTTTATACATCTCTCTAAATATGAAAATCCTTGAAGCTCTGACATCGTCATTTGATAATTTTCTTGGTTCATAATACTATTCACTTCTTCTCTTATACGTTCCTATAACATAAATTGTCATTAAAAGAATTCTATATAATTATAACAAATTATAATTTACATCCATAGTTGTTATTAAATATTGTATCCATTGTTATGCTAAAAACGTCACCTGAACGTCTTTATGTTTAGCTATAAGACTCAGAAGAAAGACCAATGCCGTTGCAGTAGTGTCGTGACCCTACGGAGATTTTTTTTCTAAATTATTTTCATTTCATCTTAATATTAGAAAAAAATAAATATACTGAAGCTTACTGCAAACATAAATGTATCCACTTCCTCTCTGATTCCTTCATCATCGATTTGATTTCCATTCCAAGAAGCTGCTATTAGTAAATCTAACATGGCAAGTTTTTTCTTGTGCATCGGATCTATGATAAAAACATTCGATTTATATTTCTATTGCGAATATGAATTATCATTCTAAAGCAATTAAAATACTTTTGTAATTTTTGCCGTATCCGTCGATATTTTCTTCAATTTCTTCCAAATTTTTTAAATATTTTCCATTAGTTTCTTCGTGAAAACTTTTTCTTTCTGCAATTATCTAAAATAACAATAATAATTTTTGAAATTGATATGACTTTTTTTAGAACGCAGGTTAGGAATATACTATACATACTTTATTCGTAAAACCGTGCAACGTTTGTAATAGTTCCTCTTGTAATCGTCCTTTTGGTGATAATGCAAATATGGGGTCCAATAAATACCAAGGTCTTACACTCCTAATAAATGATAGCATGTTTTTTTATTCTTTTTAGCATAGTTTCTTCATAAAATTTATCTTTAACTAAATCATAAATAATTACCTGAATGGAACAATACCGAGCATAGCATGAACGGCTTTGCGATATTTAAACTCAAGTTCGCCATTCCCCTGTAAAGATGTGCCCATAGCAGTTTCTGTAAATATTCTTTTTGTTAATAATTATATTTTTTATGATTATTATAACGTAAAGAAATATTCTTTAATTTACCACATATCGCATTTAACGTATGCTCGGTCAGTAGTTCCTCTAGATTCTTAATAATTGGAGTTCCCTTTCCTTGTTCTTTCACTGATGATACAAGGTACCGCGCCTCATCATTTAAAGTGACTATAAAGTGTTTGAGGATAGTAAAGTGAAAAGCGGGAGTTAAAATTTTTCTTCGATGCTGCCATTTTGCTCCTGTCGAGTTAAATTTAACTTGAAATATAATATTATATATTTATAAAATCAAGATTTTAAAAAATTGTTTACCTGTACTTGTTACCAATCCGGTCGATAGCCATGGCCTTATTAATTTGTAAGCGATACTTTTTGTTATGTGCTTGTGACTCTTCATAAGCACCTTTAGTTAAAATATATTTGTATAAATATATATCCACATTCTTTTTTTATAAAATATGGTTTTTTTTAACAATTATGACTAAACTTAATGACAATTTAATGTAAGTTTGTAAATTATTAATTTTGAATGATTGTTATATTTTCGACAATTGGTTTCCGATAATAGTATAGTTAGTATTGACTTAAAAAATTATTACAAATTATATTAGATCATAAAGAAGGAATAATTTTAATTACTATCAATCGTTAAGTTAGATGGCTAAAAGAGTTATAAAAGTAAATGTAAAATTTTAATTTATAACTTGGAAAACAATTTTACCTCGATGTCTTCCGGATGAAGTAAAACTACCGTTGAGATAAAAAAGGTCCATAATTTATAGATTGGATAATATTCCGCGTCCGTTTTACATAATACTTCGAAAAGTTTATCTAAAGTATGGCAAAAATATCAATGGTAAATGAGAATTATATTACGTCGTATAGGTGGAATTATAATAGAACAAATATATTTTCTAGACAAAATATTTACTTTTGTTAAAATTTACCAGGTTTTGTTTGAAGTTGAAGCAAATTTCCTATGATTGGATATGCTTTTGGTCCCGGAAGTGCTTCAAGAATTCTTGTTACTCTTCGGTATTTTATAGAGCAGTGTAATAAAAATAAAAATGAAACTAGTCCCAAGAAGATAGTGAAAAACATTACGTCTGTTAAATAAGAAATATTAATAAATCAAACTTCTATAATTATTTATGTAATCGTGTTCAAAGATGACGCACGAAAAATGAATAAGTACAATGGTACAACCCAATCAAAGAATATAATTATCTCACTGAACAGATGTTCAATAAGATTAGATATACATATCATATATCATTTATTGATTTAATGGATGAAAATAAGATATTGAAATTGCAATTCAAGTAATACGTTTAAAATGCTATCACAATTGTAAAAAATGACTTTTCACATTAAATACACAACGTTTATGAATGACTCTATAGATCTGTCTGTTAAGTCAGTCGCTAAAGAACTGAGAGATGTCGTTTTCGTAATATGCAACAAGAGCATAGTCAGTAGACTGTATTTATGAATAAGTATTTAATGTCAATAATTAAAAAATTATCTAACAAGGCAACATTATTTAATCATTATAAAATTATTAAATGATTGTTTTTAATAAGAAAAAGTATTTTATAAAATATCAGTGATTTTTTAAATTATCAGTGATTCCAGTGATATTATCAAATAAGTTCTATATTATCAATGCTAAACTTGTTAAAAATGCACAGTAGCGTATTAAGCGGTTGTGTATCACTTTGGAATATTAAAGAGCCTTGACACGATCTCGAGGTTTTCAAATTTCCTTTTATAATAGGCCGTAGAAAATTACGTTTTTCTAAAAAATTCAGTTAATGTGTTGTGATATGAATTTTTCAATTTCTCTATTTTGTTAATATCGTAATGAGAGTTTTTTGAAACATTTTTTCTAACTGTAGTTTGAGAATTCCATAATTTTTGTTGTTTGGGGCGTCTACTCAATTTTATCCGCCTCTTTGTAAAATAGCTCATCAGTATAAAATGAGGAACGGAAATGACAATTATTTTATCTTAACTTTTTTATCTCGAGCTGATAATGTGTGAAATCAAACCTGACTACATAAAATTTTTCGAATGATGTAAAAATAACCTAATTATTTCCATTAATTGAAGATTATTATTTTTTAATCGGCTTTAATTATTTTTTAAAGATTAATAAATTATGAATTAATAAAAATTATGAAATATTTAAATGATGAGTAGGATAGAGTCAAAATTTTGGTTAATATATATGTATATATATAAGATTATATAAGATATATGAGATATAATTCTCACATCGAAGTTTATTACAGTAATGTAATTTATAAGGAATATAAATACTATAATTGAATTGAAACAATGAATGAAATTCCTTATTTGTTTAATATAAAAAAAAGATAATAATTAAATAGAAAAAAATTATTAAAAAACACTTACTTTATTCAATACGCACTGTGTCTTCTCAATAAAAAATTTTATATTACAACGATAAAATAGGTAACATATTCTGATCGTTGGATCGTCGGAGTGATAAATGAATAAAATTATCGTAGATAATTACCGATAAGCGTTATAATGTATTTGTAAATAATTATCTTGTGACGGTAAATAAACATGATGTCAGTAACATTTTCATATTTATTTATACGATTTGCATTTAATTATATAAGGTGTAGCGTCCAGAAAGAAGATAAGTAAATTACATTAATATACCACACATTTGCACTACTCAGAAACATTTATAAGACGAAACATATATCAGAGTTATACAATTTGATTTCTAAAGTCATATTAGGTATGTGTGGGCAATGTTGAATTCTATGCAGTATTCTTTATTCTGCGTTTATTATACAAACCATTGTTTTACACATTGTTCAAATGTGTTTGTGTCAATGTATTTTTCCGCGGCGCGTGGTGGGGGTATTATTTTTCCTCTGTCGCGCAGCTACCTCGGCTTCCCTCGGCTTCTTTCGGTTTTCCGACACACCGACACGTAAATTTTGTTGTGTGCGAAGCGTGCTGGACTTGAGAGAAGGGGTAGAAATGTTCCTCGATCTGGCTTCACTGCTTCTGATTGAGTAAACACGTGCTTCCACCTTATCATATAAAATAAAAGGAAAATTGTGTTATAAGAATAGTATATTACTCACCTAGGGAGAAAAGTATACATTTTTTTCTCACACCGGTATCGAAAGTTCGCTTGTAATTAAATAATAATATATTAATTTTCTTCCCGGGCGAAAAGTCCCTACTTTTCTCCCGCTGCACCTGTAAGAAACGAAGTTGCCGCTTTCCGTCTTCCTCTCTTCCCGCTGTGTAAAACGAAGTTGCCGCTTTCTTACTATACTGTCCTAGGTATGTAATATACTATTTTATTTGTTGTCAATTAATACATTTTGCGAAGATTATGCAAATTTAACAACAAGCAAGGGGTCCAGGGGTGAAACCCCTAGTGGGGGCCTGGTGGCGAAGCCCCCAGAAAAAAAATCAGGGGGGTCCGGGGGCACAGCCCCGGCGGGGGTTGAGGGGGCGGAGCCCCCCACTTTAAAAAAATTTAAATATAAAAATAAAATAAAATATAAAATTAGATTCTATTAAAAATATAAATTATTGTATAAGTTTAAAAAATATTTTTTTAAATAAAATTTAATTAATTAAATAGGGAGTTTATAAATTATTATTATTGTGGGGAGTGTTGAAAATCGAAAAGGTTGTGTGTGTAAGTCTGTGTGAGTCCAAAAAAAAGCATTTAAATGAAATTCAAATCGAGAACGAAATGATTGATTCTTTGACCTTTAATACACCTTTTGTCACTTTCAAGAATTGTGAGGTTAAACAGATTATAATAAATAATAACAAATACAACTCTCATAATCAAGAAAATAATTAAATTTATACGTAGTAACCTATTTATGTTTGTAATATTTAACTAAACAAATATCTTTAGAACTTTTAAAAGTAAAGAAAATATAAAATTTATGAGACAACACATGTTATCATTAAAATCATTAATTATATATCATAATATATAATATATATAAGTATGCGCAGTAATTGAAACATTTTAAGGTTAAGAAACTAGTACGCATGCGCTAAAAAATTGAAGCACGCGCACTTATTTGTTACTACATTCAAGCGGGAGGGAATGTGGCACTTTGCTCCCTGAA